GTATCTGGGTGCAGTTATGAGAATACAGGTTAATGGACGACTAGGTGATAGCATACAGATGGGAAGGGTTTGCGACAGGGATGCCCTCTGTCGCAAATTTTGTTTTGCATGTCTTCAAGAACCTTTTTTATAGGGCAGTTAGGTGGAGTATAGCGAGAGCGAGGGTTGGTGTTGCACGTGAAGGGGAAGCGGGTATAGTGGGTTACGTGGATGATACGACTGTCTTGGTGAGGGATGTGAGGGATTTACGTAAGGTAGAAAGGGTGATAGACGTTTTTGTGAGGCTACAGGGATGAAAATTAATGTAGTAAAGTCCAAGTATTTGGATCTAGGGGATAGTGTACATAATGGTGAGACTGTTGAGGTGGGTGGCGTGTGGTAGATCAGTTGTTGATATGTGGGATAGTGTACATGCGGAATGATAGGGATGCACAAGAGGCAAATTCGAGGCGCACCGTGGATGGAGTTTTGAAAAGATTGGGAGGCTTGAGGGCAGAGCAATTATCGTTGCATCAAAGGGTTATAGTCACGAATGTCCTGTTGTATAGCAAGTTATGGCACGTGGTGGCAATATATCCGTTACGACGGTGTGAGGTGCAACGGTTGCAACTGCGGGTATTCAGATTTATATGGGGATCGGGTTGTGACTGGCTAAGTAGAGGGGTGGTGTCGCTTCCCGTTAGCCAGGGGGGGCTGGGGCTTATACCTCTTGAGAAGCGTATGTTGAGTGTGTTTCTGAAAAGGGGGTTTGTGAGGGAGGGGGTGAGGGGGGGAGGCCTTGAAAGACTGCGCATGGATATGCAACGGTGGTGGAGGGGTAGGGATTTAATGTTTGGGGAGGCTATGTTGCGAGTTTTACTGAAGGTAAGGGATCCGAAACAGCTTAAATTGAAGGTTCTTGAGAGGGTGGGGGGTGGGTCTGTGGTGGCGGCAGTTGAGTTGGCATACCCTATGTATGCATGGGGTTCTGTATGGAAATGTCTTCAACAACTACGTGTAAAACCAAGTGTCAGGGAGGTTATGTTTAGGTTTTTACATGGGATCTTGCCGTCTGGGGTTGTGTTATTTAATAGGAGATTAAGGGAAGGTGGGGAGTGCAAAGCGTGTGGATGTCCGGAAACCATATTTCACGCGGTGTACTTTTGTACTTGTTTAGAAGATGTGAGGGTCTGGCTAAGTAGAGTAGTTAGGTTAGTGGGTGGGGAAGGATTACAGGTGTTGCGGGTGTTAAGTTTAGATATAGGTGGGTGGAGTCAGCAGGTGGTGAATGCGGTTGCGTATGTGGTCACAGATTTTATTTATATATCTTGGGCAATGAGGGAGGTGGGAGTCGAGGAAAGGATAAGAGTGTTAGGGGCCACGATGTATAGAACAAAGTGCCGCAATAGGGATCTTTATGGGGGAAGATGGGAGACAGCATTTACTGAAGGTTATCGTAGATTCAGGTTGAAGGATTTAAGAGATTTAAGTGTAAAGTAAGGGGTTGCGGCGGGCTAGTTTTCTGGAGTATGGAAATGTGTATAGTTAGCGTGTGTGGTATGTTTGGTAATATAATAAATAAGCTTCTTTTGTGATGTGAGTTTGGTCGGGGTAGTTGTGTAAGATATGTTATTCACATTGTTTTTCAGAAGGTATCGAATTTAATATGTAAGTAGTGGTGTTTACACTACATGATTGTGTGTATAATGTGTGAGAGGGTACATCTCACAGTATTTGTGTGTTTGATGGTTTGAGGTGACACAAGGCATGATCTAAGTATGTCTGGATTCTCCTTTTGTCCTCAAAGGTGTTATACAAAGATTGTACTGTGGTGTATGTGATGTGTAGGTTTATATGTATTCAACACATGCTTGTTGTATGTTCCCTTTCGTTACTTTGTTTCAATTGTCATTTCAATGCACTTTGTATAGCATTATACAACGGTATCTTTCTTTACCATATGAAGTAATTTTTTTTAGACGCATTCCTTTTGTGTCTGAGATTGTTGTATACGGGTTTAAGTGTAAATGTAATGAGTCGGTTTATTGATTAATGAGAAGGCTGGAAGTAACTGTTACATTTTCTTGTATATATTATTTTCAATTGTATGAGTCCTTGTCATATGTCATGTTAAATGTAAAATTTATATGGAAGTTAGGTTTTGAGTCATTGAATGTTTGTCAGTTCATGACCCTGTTACGGTGTTTATTTGTAGCTATGTTATTGCCGTAAGTTATTATTGTATGTTATACAGATATATCTTGCAAGTATATAGGTGCAATCCATTTGTGTTAGTTTATTATGTGTTTGGTTTTCTTATGTCAATGGCCGAACCTTCAGAATTGAGATCCATACTGTTTCCTTTTATTTTTATATTTATGTATACTGTATTGGTTATTAATAAAATATAAAAAAAAAAAAATACGTACATGTCCTTCCCTCATGCTTCTACCTGGTATGCCCAGCTGTCCCTCGTGAATAACTGACCCCATAACCTTCCTCATCCTGTTTCCTAAGAATTTAGCAAAGATTTTGTAGTCCTAGCACATAAGAGATATTGCTCTATATGCACTCAGACCTCTCCCCCCTCCCTTTTTGAGCACCAACACAACTAGCCCCGTACTTTGTGACATACCTAACCTCCCCTCTGTGAGCATGCAATTCAATACATCAACCAAACAATGCTTAATACTTCCCCAATGTGCCCTAAAAAAATCATTAGAAATGCCATCTATACCTGACGCCTTTCCTTTACTCATACTAAAAATCGCCTCCTCTACCTCCTCCACTCGAAATCTACCTTCTAGTACCATCCTATCCTTGTCACTTATTACTTTTCAGAAATCCCTCCCCACCAGGCCACCCGCATGGACTTCCCCCTACTCATTGCCGTAGCTTTTCCCCAAACCAAAGATCAACATAAAAACTCATGCTGTCCATGGTGCGGAGTACTTGACCCGGCAGGTAACCACCCTGACCCATGCATGCTTCCAATTGCAAGAGGGACGTCGCCTGTTGTCTGACCCTGAATTTGCGTAAGACACAACCCGAAGGTTTGTCACCCCATAGCACCTCTTCCATACTTGCTCTGACTCTAACATCACTGAACCATTCATTGTGAATTTCTGCAAGCCGACTACGGAGATGTTCTATGTCGTCATACCTACTACTCCTGCCCCCCCCCCACATAGTAATCATTTAGCTGCCCCTCCAGACAGTTTTGGAGCCCATACCTCCACCTCACCTCCTCCTTCCCCCGCTTCCTATAATAACTCGCTATTCTGGGTTTGGCACGCGTTTCCCACCATTCCAACAAATATTCACATGCCCGTCGTGTTTCCGAGAGATTCTTCCACCAATCCTGAAAAGCGGACCCATCCTCCTCCCCCTCCAATAGCTGCACATTCAGTTTCCAATACCCTGGACAAACCCAGATCATTCCATCCCAGTCCAAGTCTGCTAGCACTGCACGGTGGTCTGAAAACCTGATATCAAAGGTCTGTATGCACCCAACTCGAATTCCTTGTGTTACATAGAGTCTATCCAGATGGGCCGCGTATAGCCCCTGTGGACGAATGTGTGCTAAGCCCCACCATGTCATAAACCCCTGCATCCCCCAGCAGATTCCTTAAGACAGGTAAAACGCATCCCGTCCCACCTCGGATCAACATCGCCATGGCATACAACGCAATTCCAATCCCCACCCATGACTGTAATTAAAGGCAAACCCCGAGTGTAAAACGTTAAAACCTTCCTCACGAAATCTATTTTAACTTTAGAGTTGCTTTCTGCAGGCATGTAAACTCCAATAAAACAAACCCTCACCTCATCCCAGTACCCATCTACCCTCACCACCCTCCCACCTCCCCCCTCCTCCCATCTCAAGACACTCCAAGGGCTGGACTCCTTCACTGCTATAGCTACCCCACCCTTAAATTTTAAAGAACTGCTAACATACATTCGGTAGCCTTTTAACCGTAACTCTCGCCCAAACTTATAATTGTGTTCTTGTATGAAACATACATCCACAGCGTACCTGCGCAAAAACCACTCCATCCATACACACTTAACCTCCTCCCGCAGGCCATTTACATTGATGGTAACACACTTGAATTCACAAAAGGAGGTTTTCCTCTATGTTTGTGGGTCTTTCCCGTTCCCACACGTATATTACACTGACCTTCTCTGACCTTTGACTTCCCAAGGCCCCCCTCATCCCCCCGTGCCCTACCCGAATGCTGGGTGCTTACCACAACCCCTTCCGCAAGAGGTGCCTCAGCCACTTTCGACCATAATTTCTTCCCTGGACACTGTCCCGGTGTCAGGACCTCGTCCATATCCGACACTCCCGCCGTCCGTTTGTGGGAACCACCTTCAACACACATCTCCTCACCAGACGAAGCTTCCTGGTGGACTTCCACCACCACCCCATGCAACCGTGTCATTGTAGTTTCGTCCCGGTCCCTCTCATTCAGCAAATCTTCCTTCACCACCTCTTGACACTCCAGTGGAGCATCAGGGCCATGCTCTGCCCCATCCAGGAGATCGTGAAGCACGTTCTCTAGCAAACTTTCCTGTGACAACTCCATAGGCTCTGCAGGCCCCACAGATGGCGTGGGCACATTTGTAGTGTCCACTGACAGGGTGGCACACGCCATAGACCGCATTTCCTCTTGTTGTGCCTCCTCACTCCAAAGCCTAGTTCCCTGTCCAGTTGAGGGCCCAGTCCCCAGATCGAAGGCCTCGGTTCTTAGGACCACAGGAGAAGTTTTCCGGATGTGGACAACCAGGCATCTGGAGCACTGAGCAGCCATATAGTTGCATAACCTGCATGTCTTCCTTTGGCCTGCATAGTGAACAAAAACTTGGGTCTTGTAGTTTTCCAGATGAACGTAAGATGGAATTGGCTGTTTTAATGTCATCTTGAGGGTGAAGGAGCCCTCTGGGAGCCCCTTGTATGGGCCGTCCTTACACACTTCCTTGGTCGCTGCATGTACCATGCCGTATCTACCAAAAACTTTCTATAGATCATACTCCTCTGCCTCGAAGGGCACGTTCCTTACTTTGACCCAGGTGACGTATGTGGAGACATCATACAGACATACTTCCACAGCTGAATTCACCACCATTCTTCTCTCTTGAAAAGCTTTCACAATCCTGGAGTAAAAGCCGACATTTGCGAATTTCACAGAAATCCTAGACATCCCATTGAGAGCTACACCATATATAATTCCTCGTTGGGGATGCCGTATATGTCGCGAATAATGGTAGACAACAAGACATGCATCGTTGCACCACTGAGAGAGCCACGAATGAATTCAACACAGACCATGTTTGCTCTTCTACCCTGACGATCCGCCAACTTGCGTATTGTAGTACACGATTCGCCACCAGGTGTAAGCAGGATAAGGCTCAGAAAGCGTCCTCTCAGCCCGCAGGTTGAGAGACAAATCTACCTAACTATTATACACAATTAGTCACAGCTGACCAGCCCTTAGATCACCCACTGAATACTCACAAACTATGTCAAATCTCTTAACTCCAAAGGTTTTATACTCAGATGGGAAATCTTTCTCCCATCTCCCCTCATATACCAACTTATTTCGACACTTTGTCCTATAAATCATTCCTGCTAAAATCCAAATTCTACTATTTCCTTCAATGTGCCTCATTGCCCATGACACATAAATATAATCGGCCACAACGTACGACACTGCACGTTGTACACGCATGTCAACCCCACCTACATCAAAACTCAATGCTCGGAGCGCCAACAAACATCCCCCCCAACAAGCACAAAACCCTACTGAACCACTCTCGTACCATACCTAAAGTCTCGCAGAAATACACAACGTGAAAAGCGGATTCCTCCGCCCCACAAGCCGAACAACCACGGTCCTCCTCCAAACACTTATTATACAACACCACCCCGGACGGCAGGATTCCATGCAAAAATTTAAAAACCACTTCCCGTACTTGAGGAAGGAGACACAACTGTTGAACTCGCCTCCATATATCACTCCACTTGTACATGGGGTACATTCCTTCAACTTGCGCCATGACTTTCTCCATACCTGCCCTTTCCAAAGTACATAATTTAGCACTCAGCACGTCCTGCATGCGCAATAACATGCAGAGCATCGTCTCACACCTAATTAAATATCTCCCTCCTACCACCTGCGCAGGTCGTGATATATTTCAGTTAACCCACCATGCATCCCACCCAGTCAGAGAAAATGACGCTTCACGTAACATGCTATGACGCGAGCCCCTAGAGGAATGAGACCTAACCCTCCCTGATGCATTGATGCATTGGTGTCTCTACTACTGCTCTTGTGAGCCAATCGCACCCCGAGCCCCACAAAAATCTATAAACTCTATGCAAAAAACGTTTGACATCCCCATGCAACAGAGGATACAGCGCAGCAACATGCCATACTTTACTATAAAGCAGAATATTAATGACCACCGCCCTCTGGTGCAGGGTTAAATGTCGTGGTCGAAGACTATTTAAACTATGTACCACCCTCCCCGAATTACATGCCCTCGTCTGATCAACCTCTCGCATATACTGAATACCACATATAGTGATACGATCAACCACCGTCCACGTCTCTGTACCCACCCACTCTCCCAACTCCATAATCTTCGATTTTTCTCTATTAACACACATCCCCGTAGCCTTACCGAATACATCAACAAGTCTCCCAACAAAACTCAACTGCTCCCTCGTACGTAATAGCAGAGTAGTATCATCTACATAACCTACAAGAGCCGGTCGACCACTACTCGAACCCCAAGACGAATCTACTCCCCGCCCACAAACAGCCCAGTATAAAGGGTCCTGCATACAAGCAAAAAGCATTTGAGACATGGGACATCCCTGTCGAATGCCCTGTTCAAGTGGACAAAGACACCTAACTTCCCATTAATTTGTATTTTAAAACCAGCACCATTATACAAAGAATGAGCCCACATGACGACCTCATTTCCAAACCCCTGCCATCTCATGAACTTCCACAGCACCTCCCTTTCCACACTATCAAAAGCAGCTTGCCAGTCTAAAGCCAAAAACACCTCCCCGCCCCTCGTTCTGCATTCCTCGACAAACTCCCTGATATTTCCATGACCATCATACATCGACCTGGCACGCCAAACTGACCCTTATGGATTACCTTATCAAACACTTTCTTAATCCTATTCATTAAAACTTTTGCATATAATTTATAGTCACTACACATTAACGATATGAGTCGATAATCCTTAATCGCTACGGGTATGTCACATTTTCTAATTAACACCAAAACCGCCATACACTGAGACAAGCCTAACACCCCCCTCCTTCGTCGCACTGAGTAAATGAACCATAAAATTCTGTATTACCTCCCAATGTTGGATATAAAATTCACAATGGATGCTGTCAATGCCTGGCGCCTTACCCTTGCTCACTCCCTGCAATGCCTCCCACACCTCCGCCTCAGTTATAGGCCCACCCATGAGAAAGCGATCATGATCATTCAACCCGCATCGTACACCCCACCCCAATTCCTGTATCGCATGATCACTCACTTCTTTACTTTGCATTTGGAGCTTACACCATGTATCGACATAAAAACTTATTCCTTCAGTTGTTGTTAAGACCTGTCCCTCACTATACCCATCAACTCCATCCTGCACCACTAAACTCACAATTTCAGTTGCCTTTCACCTTTGTGCCTGTCTACGTAAGACACAAGTAGACGGCTTATCACCCCACACAGCCTCCTCCACCCTACTCGAAATATGCACCCCATCAAAAACTTTATTTTTCAGTACCTGGATTTGTTCCTTAAGATCGTCAATCTCGTCCACTGGGTAAATTCCAGACACCTCTCCCTGTGCATAACAATGCTGTGAAGAGCCCTCCAGGTACCTCAGAAAACCATACCCCAAGCGAGAGGCTTCCTTACCCCAATGCACGTAAAAATCCTTAATTCGAGGCTTCACAACCTTATCCCATTGTTGCACTAAATCCCACCCATCCTAGGAGTCTACTTCCATAGATTCCCATAAGTTCGTGAATAGTGTCCTATCATCTGCACTTTGTAGCAGTCGCATATTTAACTTCCAATATCCCTTAAAACTGTTCGGAAGACCCCCCCCCCCAGTCAAGTTCCACAAGAACTCCCCGATGGTCAGAGAAATAGACGTTTAACACACGTTTAACATGCACACATTGATTACGACCACCCGCCGAGACACATACACCCTATCTAAGCATGCTGCAGAGCCCCTATGCATGAATGTATGCTCAATCCCCAAGTCACATCTTCCACTTACATCCACTAACCCTAGCCCAGACAACAAATCACCCAAAATAAGTGAACAAACCCCCCCCTCGGCTCAACTTCTTTACGGCACACCACACAGTTCCAGTCACCACTGACCACTGTAATATCCAGCAGGAACCTCAAATAGTGCACTAGGACATCTTCAACAAAAGTATTTTTAATATTAAAACCTTCATTTTTGGGCCGGCCCCCATTTTTTACTCCTAAAAAACCAAACCCTTCTGTTACCCCAATCCCCCATGAATCGAAACCCACCCGACCCCCCCCCTTTCCCTCCCAATTTTTTCCCAAAAAAAACGGGTTTGGTTGCTGTTCCAAAACACAGCCACCCCAACTTTCAGATGTCTCGAGTGAGTCATATAAAACAAAACCATTGTGGGGAAAATTTCAATAATGGGAAAGTGAAAGGGGAGTTTTTAAAATTTAAACAATAGTTCATTGCTGGCTACTTTTTTGGGGAAAGGTCGGGGCCCTTGCTCCCGCTACCCCCTTCCCCCCTCCTTTTTCCCCCCCCCCCCCCGAAAGGTGACGTGTGGGGCCGGGGTCAAAAAAAGTAAATCCCCGGGATTTAAAACTCCCAACATTTCGTAAGTACATGCCCCCCTTTGTATTCTAGTGGATTTATTGTTAAAAAGGGCTTCACTTTTGACCAATAATAAACTTAGTTTTTCACCTTTGCTCTAAATTGACTGTTTGTATAATCACCACTTTTTTTTTAGGTTTTGTATTTTGGAGGGGTGATTTTTTAAAAGGAGGGGGGTAACCGTTATTTTTTTCCAGTTTGGGAGGGCAGAAAAAGGGTAACCTTCAATCAAGGGGAGAAGAAAAAATTTGGGGGAGGGAAAACAAACGTCCTGGACGTCCCCTTTTTGGTTTTTTAATTTAAAGGGTGCCCGTATGAAATTGCGGGAAACTAACCCCATCTTTGCGGGGTAAAAAAACCCTGTTTTCCCTGTCATGGGGATATAATATTTAAGGGGGCCCATTTCTGTGAAGAATAGCCAGGGGTTTCATACCAACACCTGCAACCCCCCCCCACCATCATCAGAAACGGCTACGATTTCAAAACAGAATCACCAACCCCGGACACCCTATATATATTAGCGTTGAATTCAGTTATCATTTTTTATTTTTCTTTTTTAACATTTTTTTTTAATGTGGGTTTAAATTTTTTTTAAATATTTAAGTTTTTTTATATTTTATTTTTTTCTTTTAAAATTTAAAGTTTTTAATTTTTTTGTTTTTAAATTTATTTTTTTTTCTATTCACAATTTTCCTGGGGAAAGGAGCCCCCTTTGGGTTTAATACTTTTGAAGTTTTTTACAGGGCGAGAAAGCCTTCACAAGTGGGACGTTTTCCAAAGGATAAACTCGACTGAAAAAAGATTCAACTCCACCCCGAATCTACCCGGGAAATTTTCAACGCTGCATCCCAAACAGACGGTTACCACCACCCAGGGAGAAATTTTTTTTCTCTAGGGTTTGGGGACTACCTTTGGAATGTTACTAAAAGTTTTTTGGTGATTGTTATAGCCTTTTTTATTGTAAAGTCAAGTCGGGCCCGGTTTAATAATTTTTAAATTTCCCCTGCCCCCTTTTTTGAGCTTAAAAAAACTTTGGGGGTTTAAATTCTAAGGCCCCGGGGTTTTTCCAGTGACAATTTGTTTCATTGAGCTTTTTATTAATCAAGGGAAACTGCCCGTGGGAACTTTTTGATTTGTTGGTGAGAAATTGGAGGGTCAAGTGCCCCCCAATTTCTATTTTACTGTTTGCTCGGGGGCTGGCTAAAAACCCTTTCTTTTTTCTTTAAATTTACATTTTGTTTAAT